GAACATTATTATTCAACACAGATCTTTATAGTCAATATTGTTCATGCTTGTCATTCGTCAACAAGATGTTCTTCAAGTTATAGTGACTAAGACGTTTTCAAAGACTGACCAGAACTATTCTTTACTTCTTCAAACTTTATCCATTCAAAATGGAGTCTCTGCTTTGAGAATAAGACTTGGAGTTAAAGGTGAAAGGTACTTACATGGGACTGTTTCCGATTTTGAAATGTTTAATTGTTTGTCACTTATTAAAGCAATAGTCACCGACTCTCCCCTTTGCAGAAATGAATTCAAAGAGCCTCATTTAGTGAGCACTTTACAAAAAATTGTGTTCTTATCTGTTTGTTCTATTTACTCCATTTTTATTATATTAAAACTATAACTTATTTATTCACACAAAGAGTTTCAACAATATATCACCAAAGCAAAAAGTCCAGCTCAAAGCTATAGAAGTTGTTTATTATCTTTCCGACTTAGACGTCTCAAACCCTTACACCGTGTTGTGCGAGAACATTAAAAGGAATATTTTGAAATGCAAAGAGAAGTCGAGAAAACTCATTGAAAATACTATAGAAGGCTCCTATGACTTCTGTCAAACTGAAAACTGTATTGGAGAAAAATTTAATATTGTCAACGACAATAACAAACACTGGCCGTTATCAGATCTCCACTTCGGATTCAATCGAGTGCAAAACAGCTATGAAAAACTGGTGGATTTCTAGCATTTCTATATATAATTCATATTGGGTTTATAGTTTTATTGTTATTAAATTAAATTATATGTAATTAACGAAAGTCGTATTCTTTTCTTTTGTTTTTTTAAAAGAAAATAAAAACAACAAATTGTAGTTATACTGGACTTTACGTTCGTTAATATATCAATTTAATTTAAAATAAACTACCGAATATCAAGTTTTGTTTTTTTTCAAATATTTAAATAATTTTAATTTAAAATTTAATTTAAAAACCATTCAAAAAAATTGAACACTTAAATTAAAAAAAACTATAAAACAATTAAAAAATTCAATCTATATTAAACAAGATGATCGAAATAATTTGTTAATCTATTAAGTATAATATTGTATATAGTTAATATATAGTTATAAACTCCATATATATCCTTTAAAGACTGTTTGATCTTCTCCACACAACAAACAACAACAAAATGACAAATCAAACAATCAATAAATAGTTTCATAAACACTAGTACTACTCTTTTGTGTTGCTTTGTGTCATTTACAGAGCAGAACCAACTTGGTTACTATTTATAGTGCATCCCTCTGGTGTCAAATTGTCTCTGATACTTTCATTCTGATAAATTCCCCTTTCCATAATCTTTTCCGAATTGAAATTGATTCCATCGATAGATACTGTATGTATTCTCTTCATTGGAATGCTAAGACTCAGTTTCTTCCCAATCTTCATCACAAATTGAGCGCCACAGAACTTCTCAATTATATCGATCATTGCGTTGTTAGTCGCAGTGTCTTGTCTTCTTCTCTTTTGTTTCAGATTTTCAGATGGAAAGTGTAGAGTATCCAAATTAAAGTACACTTTACCTTCTCTTGTGATGGACTCGATGACATACAATTGATGTGTAGTCCTCCCTTTCTTATACAACTTGTTTACTTTCACTTCAAACCCATTGCAGGCCAATACCAATATCAAAAATCCTTGTTGAGCTGCATCTCTTTCAACAGAGGCTCTCTTAGCTTGTAATAGTTTATTGGTACTATTAGAAGAATCATTACTTAAGTCGACATGTTTGACGTGTTGTATCATCCTTTGAGTGCCTTGAGTAACTACTTTTGAAGAATCAAAGGGGTAGAATATCGTCGTAAAAATGTTAGTTGACTCCTTGTAAATATTTACTCGTGTAAACGCGCTTTGAGTTGGTTGCATAGGGTGTTGATGTGCATAAATGACTGATTAATGAGTTTAAATATAATTGAGTGAGGTTTCAATTGAGTTTTGAGAGATTATTATAATCATGCTAATTGTGCGTATTAAAAACATATTTTATTTTTTTATAACAAATTATAAATAGTTAAATACAAACTATAATTAAATTAAAAAATAACTCCATATTTAATATATTACTTAAAATAAAATTGGTTTTCAATTAAATGTGTAAAATAAACAAATTAGACAATTTTAATGAACTATTCAATATGATTTATGAAAAATAATCCAGAAAAAAAGCCGAATTATTAAGTTTTATTTATAATTTTGTTAATAATTAAGTGAAAGATAATATAATTGGTTAAATAACTATATTTAATTATAATTATATTATTTTCCCTTCAATAGTTTTTATATAGCTTTGTTATATATTTAGAATCTCGCCCAAAAAACAATTGTTTTTTGTGGTTATTTATTGAGGTTTTCAATGGAAATAAATAATCTAATTAACTAAATTATAAAAATTATCAAGCTTCAAAGTGAATGCCTCATTTTTACATTAATCTGTTGTTTTAATTTGTTGAGGTTTTAATAATTTTGAAAAATGAATTTGACATGTAGTCAGTCTAACAAC